TTTCAATTTTAATCTTTGGATTATTATTGTATAGACGGAAATAATAGGACTACCATGGTTGTCCAATGCTTGCACAAAAATAACAAATCATTTTATAACTTGTTAAAAGACAGATGATCTATTAGACATGATTTGCATTTTAATTCACTAAGTGTTATATTTTGACCCCTTAAAAAAATCTTGATTTCATCAGTATAGCAAGTCTATGCTACATCTTTTAATCAATTAACAAACTATTATTATTTTTATAGTTTGGCGCCTAGAATCTCGGTGCCAGAATCTCGGCGCCTTTGGCACGCGTGTGGCGCCTAGAATTAGCTCATAATCTAGGCTAGCCATGCATATTCAAAGGTTCTTTGCATCCTTTCCGACTGTAGGACTCATCTAGCAATGCATATCCAAGGATCTCGCACTACCGTATATGGGCTCAATGCCTTCGGGCATCCCGGGCTGCATAGTCCTGCCTATACCGAAACCTTCACTTGAGAGAGCGCACTATAGCCCTCGCCTTATAGTTGTCCTCATATAGCTCCTTCTCTATGGAGCACATCAATCCCTTCTTCATAGACATGATCCGCCTAGCTCACAGGCTCGGCCTTATAGTGTCCATAGAGCTCCTTCTCTATGGAGACATCAATCCCTCTTCATAGACATGATGCCCGCACCTAGCTCACTAGGGCTGGGTCCCGCATCCCGGCCCCGGGGAGGCGGAGAGAATTACACCGGATCTCCCCTCTCATATTCTTGGTCCATATGCCATTCAACATGCTATTCTCGTCTCCAATAGCCTTATTTCGTCCATAGGGTCGCCATGGTAAGGCACCATGGGTAAGGATGCTGGACTCACACCCTTACAAATATGTACGAAGTGCTTGCGCTACAGACTTTAATAAAATCTCCTTCCCAGCCTAAGACAATAATTTATTCTGCCATTCATGAACCTTATTCTATAACCGGGTCTTTGAAAAGGAAAAAATCTAGCGTTTATTACGTCCGATCAAAGATGGTAATCGTAAATACTTACCCCCTCCTACAGGATTATGAACCTCCAAAAGCCCCGATACCCTAGCACACACTTTATTATTAACATTCGGGCTCACAAAAATACCGGATTTTTGAAAGTTAATTGCTTGGCCAGACGCATATTCATATTCTCTCAAAATTCCCTTTACCCTTTGACCCTCCTGCTTATTAGCCCTAAAAAATAAAAGAGAGTCATCTGCAAAGTAAAGATGGGACACTCGTGGACACCCGACCCCTTCATGATGCCCATGTATCTCCCCCCTTCGCTCTACCTCATTTAATAAAACTGATAGTCCTTCAGCACATAAAATAAAAAGATATGGAGATAACAGATCCCCTTGCCTAATATCCCTTCTACGCTCAATAGGCCCCACAACCTCCCCATTAACCAAAACAAAATAAGAAACATGCGATACCACATAATATCATCCACTCAATCCATTTAGAATCAAAACCTAAGCCGTTCATCATGTATTTCAAAAAATCCCAGTCCACCCTATCATGAGCCTTACTGATATCTATCTTCAGAGCTACAGACCTTGTATTACCCCAAGAAAGCCTTTTCATACTGTGAATAGTCTCAAAAGCAACCAAGATATTATCAGTAATTAGCCTACTAGGTACAAAAACAGACTGACTTTGAGAAATAACATGGGGTAAAATCTTCTTAAGCCTATTCGCTAAAACTTTAGCCAAAATTCTATACAACACATTACATAAAGAAATAGGCCTATAATGTACTAAGTTTTGGAATTAGCACAATCAAAGTATCAGAAACGCTATGCGGGAAAATGCCTTGTTCCAACAAAGAAGTACAGCCAGTCACCACGTCCCTTCCAATGATATGTCAGAATCGTTGGAAAAATACAGGATTTAGGCCATCAGATCCTATAGCCTTATTTGGATGCATTTGAAACACAGCCGTGCGAAACTCCTCCGCAGTAAAAGGGGCTAATAATAGTTCATTATCCTGAACCGTAACTCTTTTATTAACCAGTCCCATAATCCATCTGGATTGGAGTTCCCAGAAACAAATAATCAATGAAAATAATCAAATATCAGCCAAAGGATACCCTTCTTGTCTTGAACATAATTCCCTACATCTGACTATAACCCCAAAATATTGTTCTACCTGTGTCGACCCTTAATGTTTGCATGAAAAAATTTGGAATTTTTATCTCCATACTGAGCCTAAAAAATCTTAGCCTGCTGTCTACGCTGCAGATCATCGGTGTCAAGAATCATATTCCATTATGTTCGTAAAGCATCATATTCCTCCACTGACATACCATCTCGATCCCGCTGAAGAAGTTTTCTGATCAATACCCGCCTTTTGTTCAAATCAAGTTTAAAAACCTTGATCATACCCATCATTGAAGAACCAAAAGGTCATTCTGAAGGAGCTATAGAAACTTGAATTTTTGTAGAAAGAGCCAATGCACAATCCTCATCTCGAGAGCAACATATCTCTATCAAAGTGAGAAGCAAAAGCCTTCGATCTAAAAGGAGAAGCAAAGCTTGCGCCTTATATCTCCGGCTAAGCTTAGTTCAATATAAATCATGGAACCAAATTAATTTGATCCAGTTCGATTTGCGATAACTTCAGTCTGAATTTGATTTTAATATAAAAAAATTTTCTTTATCTAATTTGATTTGATTTTCACTAAGTCTAAAATAAACTTAAATTCGTCGGAAAAAAAAAGGCTAAAAATTGACAAAACCAAATCAATATGATTTAATTCAATATAATTTTAAATACTAATCAATTTAATATTAATCTTAAAAGATTTCAATTTATATAATTTGGATTGATTTAGTTCAGGTTAAATCAAACCAACCGTAAGTTGATCACTAACTCATATTTAAGGAGAAACTATAGTTAAAACTAATACAAAGAGTAAAATAATCATACTCTCTCTAATTTATTTATTTGGACAAAATTTCTAATTAATGTATTTCATTTAAATAGATAATTTATTGAATTTGGAATAATGCTAAAGTACAAAGTCCATATTACCCTTTATTTAGCTTTATTTACAGGCATTAATACATGCAAATAACAAGAAAGCGATGCACAAAATACATCTAATGCATTGAAAGTACTTGGGTTACCAATGCAAAGTTATTATCAATTTTTCTCTCTGTACGAAAAGTTCATTTTATGGGCGCTATCAACTGCGCGTAACTTGAAATATTGCATTCATCTCACACACTTCTTACATATTAGATAATAGCATATTCGTTATTAAAAAAAGCCCTTTGCTAATGTTTTTTGTTTAATTCTCTTTTTGTCTTTTATTGAAAAATACATTATGGATCGCCAAAATTTTCAGCATTGAATTGGTACAATCCAACTACATGTACTAGGAAGATGGTATATGATCAAATATCCATAAGACTTTTTGAAGGATAATGAACATTTTTAGAATCAGAGGGGTGAAATGGAAGATAGAACGTTAAGGTCGAACGTATACAATGAACATATTTAGAAAGTGATTTTTATTTTTTATTTTACACAATGTAAAAAAAACTTCAGTCTGAAATGTTATTATTTATATAAAGCCATTTGTGAAGGAATTGAGGAGACGGTAAAACTTTGACCCCAAAATCAAAATTTTTTCATATTTTCATTATCAAATATGCACATATGTAAAGTTAACAATTCAGTTCAAATTTCCCTGCAAAAGCAAAATAGGAAGTTAATTTCAATCATGGGCAATGTGGTAATTTTCCTCCATTCAATATGTTAATTTTGGATTAAAAACATTAAATGCCTTTTGTTGGATGAAATCAGCGTGAGATAGTTGACTTCAAAAGAAAAAAAAGATGTAGTTAATGCAATGTTGGGGGCAAATGAGAAAAAAAAAAAAAAAAAAAAAAAAAAATTTAAAAAAAAAATGAAATTAAAATTCAGCAAATAAACTGGCCATTCTATAATTTATGAATACCCAATTTCTGGCAATTTCAGTTCAAATAAAGAATGGAGCATTAATAATAATACAAACAAAAAAATAAAAAAAAAAAATGAAAAAAAAAAAAAAAAAAAAAAAATGATTGCTGCCTTCAAGATATAAGATATGGGCAAGAGAGAACGTTAATCGATTGAGAATGGAGTAGATCATTTCTTGGAAGACAACATAAAGGCATTTTCTATAATGCCTTGAAGGAAAATCAAGGCAATCAAGTTTTTATGGATGTTTATTGTAAAGAGTGACAATTTACAAAATAATAAGCACGATTACAAAAATATATTGTAATATTTTAAAATATCTTGTAAAAAATGACTATTTTTTGTAAAGTTATTGGATTACAAATAATAGCTCCAATTACCAATATTTTGTATAATTCTCAATAATTTATAAAAAAGTTATTTTTTTTTAAATTGTCAAATTACAAAATAATAGCTCCAACTGCCAATATTTTATAATACTTCATGATATTTTGTAATAAGTGATTTTTTTTTTTTTTTTTTTAATCGTGTTTTTTTTTTTTTTTTTGTCAAAATCGTGGGATTTCAAAATACTAACTTCAATTGTCAATATTTTATAATACTTTTTAATATGTTGTAAAATGTGACCCCTTTTTTTTAATGAAAAGTTAGTGGTTTACAAATAATCCCCGATTGCCACAGTTACCATTATTTTATAATATTTCATAAAAGATAGTTGTTTGTTTTTTTTTCAAATGATGAGTTACAAAATTATAGCTTTTTTATCAATATTTTCTAATATTTTGCAATATTTTGTAATAAGTGATTTTTTTAAAATTGCTGAATTACAAAACAATGAATTCAAATTTCAATGTTCTGTAAAATGTTTTAATATTTTATAAAAAGTGGTAATTTTTTTCTAAGTCAAGGTAAAAGTCTTCTTACTTTCCCCTAAAGGCAGAGTAGCAACCCCCAACTTAAAACCTTCATATCATAATTGGCCCTAACAATTACATTGACATTAAAATATAAATTGATTCACAACAAGTTGATAAACAGCTAGGAAGAACCCATTTTATTTGTCACAACTGTTAAGCAGGATGGTACTACTAATGCTATTTTCCTTTTAATAAATGTCCCCAATTGAGTACTATTGCATTGGAAATACAAATTAAAGCTAAGCAGCTTCACTTCACACTTCACATGCCCAAAGACAAAAAGGCCTTGGCCTTAAAATAAAAAACACAACCAAAGAAAAGAAGAAAAAAAGAAAAAGAAAGGAATAGTTCTCTTTTCATTTTTCAATCAAACATCAATAATGCCCTCTTTGATACCAAAATATCCTTTTAGCAATACTTGAAAGCTTAACCAAAAAGCACCTACCATCAATTGCCACTCTTTCTTTTTCTTCTTCAATTGGAAGCCAGATTCCAAGAAAAACCCAAAACCTAAAATCAAATGTCACCTTCTCCATTTTAACAATTCACAACCCAATTGTATTTTGTTTTATGTAGCCAAAAGCAGAATCCCTACTTCTTTGGAGGCACAAAATGTCCTTCGTATATACCAATACACCTTCATTACTATACCCCTTAATCTAACTTATTAAGGGTCAGATTCAGTATATATTTTCATGTACTTTGTGTAGTAAGGTACACCCTTCCTTACCGTACACTATACCACACCAAATCATCTCACCTTCCTCTTCTCTTGTTTTTTTTTTTTTTTTTTTTACCTTCCCTCTTCTTCTTGTTTTTTTTTTTTTTCTTCTGCTATCTCACAGAGAGTAAAGATCCTCAATCAGAAACAAAAAATTTTTTTTTTTTTTTTTTCTGCTATTCACAGAAGTAAATCCTCAATCAAAACAAAAAAAATTCTCAATCGGATCCTTTAATTGGCCGGGCAATCGGGCCCGCCGGCGATCTGAATCCGAAAGTGACAGTGTCGTTAACACACCAATGGAATCCAACATCTCTACCCATCACTTTAGCCATCAAGCATTCGTCACAAACTACTGTTCTATTATTAACTCTTTCTGATCCCAAACTCAGCCCTTCATAGACCATACCCGAACCCAAACCCATATTCATCAAGTACCTTTCTTTCTCCATTTGCAACTCCTTGACCCGTCTTTCGTACCCGGCCCGACCCAAATCAACACCTGAAAACTCGTTAGTGTTGATTGCAATAGTATTACCGTCTCGCCTTAAGAGCATCATATTCGCCGGTGGATCGAACCGGTGGTTGTTCTGCATAATTTCGGCAACTTCGCGGCTTTTTCGCCTCCTCTCGCGCCTCGATCGCTTAAGAACCACGAGAAAGAAACAATCCTTCTCGCGAGAAACCGCTGAGAAATCAATCTTTCCGGTCACAGGGATTCTGGAGCCACGCCTATTCTGGTCCGTCATGTAAATAGAGAACTGGTGAGGAGACAAACCGAGTTTCTCGCTAATAGTCGATTGAAAAGCTTTGAAATTCAAGGAAGGTGAAACGACGACGTTGCCAAGGCTAGTCTCCTGCTCGCCGTCGTAGAATACCACCGAAAATGAAGACCCCATGGACTTAGCCGTCACAAACTCCTCCTCCATCATTATTCACGCCCGATTCCGGCAAGATGACGTCACGGATTAGGTGAAATTTGGGGGTTTTGAGTACATGAAAACGAAGAGAATTGGCTGTCAAGTGAAAACAGAGGAGAGGGGCTTATATATAAATGGCGGGGTTTAGCCTTTGCCCTTTAGGCAACAGAGGGATGACATGGTAAATACAGAAAGGCGGTTGGGGTATTTTGGGAATAATGGAAATTAATAACCAGAGAGCGTGAGAGGAAAGCATGTAGTTTTTTCTCAAAACGGTTTATATACTGACTTGGGGACCAAGTAAGTTACCAGAAACCGCAAAAACGACGCGTCGCGATGGGGTCGTGTGAGTTTCTACGAAATCCCCAAGTTTATCGGTTCTCAGGTCGAAACTGCCCTTCAAAGTTTGGCGAATTTGCGCCCGTACCATTGTTGACGTTGAAGAATAAACCCTGGAAGGTGTCTGCTTCGTTATCTCTAACAGCCTTATCAATGGAATCGCCTCCTCAAGGGTATAGAAGAAATGTAGGGATATGTCTCGTTAATCCCTCTAAACAGGTTAGAAATTTGAGGCGAATTTTTGTTTTTACATATGAAATGAGTTGTTTGGGTTCGTTAATTAGGTAATTTTTGGGTTTAATTTGTAGATCTTTACAGCTTCGAGGATAAACATACCAGACACTTGGCAAATGCCTCAGGTAGATTCAGTTCTTTTATGGGTTTTGTTTAAATTCGATTTTAGCTTCAGATATAGCTTTCAATAATTGGCATTGGAAAAGATACTGGTAGCTTGTTTTCGTTGAATTGATGGGAAATTAATGGAGTAGCAATTTTGAATTCTATTTAATTTAAGTATTTGCTTGTTAATATGAGTAGGGTTTCGTTTGAGTTGTTTCCATATTAAGGGATGAGAGGAGCTTGAAGAGATAAAATAACATATAAGAAGGATTTGTATTACTATGGCCTCATGGGCTTGTATTTAACAGGGGGGTGCTGATGAAGGTGAGGACCTTATAAATGCAGCGATGAGAGAATTGAGGGAAGAAACAGGAGTTACTTCTGCAGAGCTTCTCGCCGAGGTATTTAGCTTGTTATTTTCGGTTTGCCTACTTGAATGCTAATTGTCTTGACATGCACTATTTTGTGTCATGCAGAACATGTTAGAGAATGGAAAGACATGTTTACTTCATATATTATTCAGCTGATATTGATTTTGTATTTACAGGCTCCATACTGGCTAACTTATGACTTCCCACTTCAAGTTAGAGAGAGACTTAATCGCAGATGGGGTACAAATTACAAAGGTCAAGCACAGAAATGGTGAGCAAATTCTCTCTCAAAAAGCAATAACATTGAAATGGTCTATCTAGTGTGTTTTAGCTACTTTATTATTATTCATCGTATCTATCATCAATTCAAGCTCATGCCGTTGTCTTCCTTATGTTTGCTGTATTTTCTGCTGTTAATTATCGGTTGGCTATGATTTGTAATGGTTTAAAACATCCAATTTCAGGGAATTGTTTGTAGGGAAATGGGGGGCTTATTTGTTATTATGCAGGGTGTTGTATAACCTGATTTTGTGATTATCTCCTGTTCCGGCCATTGTGTACTTGTTCCCAGAATTTTGTTTATTCTGCTTTACAAATGGACTTTGCTTATTGTTAAAAGTTGTATTCTTTCTTTGTCATTTACCTTAGCACTTGGTTGGTATAAATGAATTTGAGATATAGATTTTATATAAAATTTAGTTTCGATATGCAGAATTCTGTTAATTGAATTCATAAGCAGGGCTATTTACAATTTAGGGAAACTGTCTTGGTGTTTACAATTTAGGGAGGTATTTACAATTTAGGGAAACTGTCTTGGTATTTACAATTTAGGGAAATCATTAAGCAAGATCGAATAATTTCTCATGTTAAAAGAATTGCAAATATGGAGTTGGTTCTGCCCATTAATGTTTAGTTTCATACTTCTTTTTCTTGATCTAAACATTGCCTTATGCAAACAATTTTTTAAATAATAACAGGTTTCTATTTAAGTTTACTGGTAAGGAGGAAGAGATCAACCTTTTGGGAGATGGATCTGAAAAGCCAGAATTCAAGGACTGGTCATGGATGTTACCGGAGCGAGTAGTAGAGCTTGTGAGTAAAACCTTACTGGATAAAAAACTTGCTGTAAGTTCTATATTTGTAGGTAGATACTTATTTTGTTTGGTTAAACAGGCTGTGGATTTCAAGAAACCTGTTTATGAACAAGTTATGAAGCTATTTGGTCCATATCTTCAGGGAGATGAAGATGAAGGGAATTACTCTGCTCAAAATGAAACTAACGCCAAAATGCATATAAAGTCCTCCCTATCGTAAACCCGCGTCAAAATGTTCATTTAGTAAATCTCATTGATAGCATAGCAAAAAGCCTTTTTCTTTTTGGTGCTTTGCCAGGTTTTGTATTCAATTTAGCCGCGTATATAAGAATCTTCTATGCAACTTGTTCAATCATGTGGATGATTAGATTACCGGTCTCTATTTACAGATGAAATAAAGCAGAATCGAAACATGCTTCTTTTTTAATGATCTTGATTAAAGTTTACATGATCAAGAGATGATCATTTGAAAGCTTATTGATGAGACGTTGAAACCTGAAGTTTGAATAATTGATTTGTGAATCATTTGTATCTGTTTTTACCCTAACATCCCTCAAAATGTAAGGTTCATTTGGCTCTAATGTGCGTATCGGAAATTGACATTTGTTGATAGGTTATTAATTTTGAATTTGCGTAGTTTCAGTTCATAATTTTCTTTTTAAGTTCATAAATCTTTTTTTTAGGTTAAAAGTACATTGAAAAATATGATATTGTTCCTTTCTTTTAGGTTAGAAATATTATCATTTCAAGTAATTTTATTCTATTTCCACTCAAGAAATTAAACATTTAAATTCCTAATGCATTGCTTCTTCAATGCTGAAAAATTTGAATCTGTTCTTTCTTGTAAAATAAAAAAAAAAAAGGAAAAGAAAAACAAAGCAATTCTACCTATTTCTCAACGGATTCAACCTTTTGAGTTTACTTCTTGCAAAATAAACATCTCAAAAAGTTCAACTTCTTGAAACCTTAAGAAAGATTCTTTCTTTTTCTACCAATAGTAAGTAGGGATACATTACCACAATTGGATACAAATTTCAATGGAGACGAGGATAAAGTGAACACATAAACATGCCACAACTAATTGTTGACTAGGTGAAGAAAAACAAAATTCACATACCATCTTTTTTTTTTTTTTTTTTTAATCCATCAATTAGTGTGCAATTAAAGCATATTATTATTTTCTAACTCACTTATATGCCAAACCACAACGGGTAATGCAAAGAGGGCTAAAATGAGAGCATTCAACCGTCTAAAGCAATGGGCTTGTATACCATGAAAGATGCAGTGCCAGTAAAACTGGATGCCAATCCCTTTCCAGCTGAGGTTGGTGGTGAAAATGCAATCTGGGATTGTTCAAGAGTAAAACCCATGCAAAAACTTCTCCTGCATTCCATAGAAACACAAGTGAAATGTTAATTTTTTGAACCAGAATTGTAAGAGCCAGACCGACAATTCCGCCAAAGTAGTGCTAGAAGTGACAAGACAAATGTATTCACTCATTCGTTCATAAAGTCAAGACCTGTAAGTTTATTGTTTTCACACTTTCTTTGTTTTATCAAGTTTTGAAATGGTAACACATAAGCTCATATGAAGACCAATTATTTGCTAGTGGATTTCTGAAAAATTATAACCTCTATTGGAGTTCATATCAATGGTTTGTTTATTGATTTTAAAATCTAAAGTTGAAATTGTAACTGAACAAGGAATTAGAAATTGACTACTTAGACATATCTAATGCTCATATGTGGAAGACTAATAATAAACACTAAACTCAGTTCTAACACGGCGTATAAGAGAATTACATTTGAAATTATCAGAATTGTAAAAAGAGTTGAAGCTTGCTAATTTACCTCACAGCATCCAGTAACTGACTGGCAATGCGTTTTCTTCTGTTGGACGGAGTGACCCAGACTGCTCTAATGCCACAAATAGCAGGTGTAGCTTCCTCTTCACAGACAATAGCTCCATTGCTGTTCCTATCCAATACTTCAAGAGAGTTTACAGATGGTATTTTCTTTGTTATTTCTCTGTGCAAGATAATATCCCCAAATTGGAGAGTGGTACATTTTGATTTTGAATCCTTTTTAGTAGCATTATTAGATCTTCTATCTACTGAAGGCGGAAGGACTTTGAACGCTTCTTGTATTGGTTCAGCAACTAAACAACCAGCGACTCTGTGGGAACAGATGAAAAGATATGCCTACAAACTTCAGGGTCAGAAAGATTGCAAAGAAAGAAAATCAAGACTTGTCATGCTTCCAAAAGACGAAAAAAGGATAGGAAACCAAAATTTATCAAAGCATAAGTGAAAAAGCAAAACCGCACGATAAGATTTTGGATTGTAATTCTAATATACTCCAAACACCAGGTATATGGAATTTTCTAATTCAAAGCATTATGAAGAAGCCAGAATTAAAACCTTTAAAACAAAGGCTAATGAACTATGATTTAGTTGTACTGAAATTGTTTCTGGGGTTGAAATAGATCCTAAATGGGAGAAAAATTAACAAATGAAAAAAAAAAAAAAAAAAGCTTAGAAATTGGTCGCAATTTAATAGTTCTCAACAAATCTGTTACCTTGCAGAGCTTACGAAAAATCCATCCACCTCCAAGCTCAATTTCCATCATCTTTACAACCTCCTGTACCTGTCAAAACAGTAGCATCCCAATTAACATGTGGACCTGTATGCACTTAAGGCATAGGTATCAAGTACTTCAAAACTATTTCACGACAATTTTTATCTTTTGAAAAACATAAAAACCAAATTCGAGAAATTGAAAGACAAAATGCAAACCTTATTCCTCTGAGCAGCAGAGTCACTATCTAAAACCAAAACAATGCGCCCCCCTTCATTGCAAGGTATATCAACAACCCTTTCATTCTGGAACCCCTATAGAATTCACATGTATAATAGATCAATCATGAAGACAGAACAAAATAAACTCAATTAGCCGCTGTAGTGTCTACAAATATACCTTGAATTGAACTCCATGAGTGTAATTCCTGTGAAATGTTTTATGTTCCTTCTCATCTCCTTCTTCCCCCGGGGCATATTTCACCCCACATATCGAACATGTACGGAGATTGAAATCAGATTGACCCAAGTCCAAATAAAACTGTGCGTAGTTTCTCTTCTTGTTGAGAACTTTCCCAAAACTCAATAATTCTGGTTTCAAACTCAGATCCCTTGAAATTGGTTTTGTTATTGTATCTTCATTGGCTTCAATCGTCTTGTCCCTAAATTTGACCAAAAAAAAAAAATTTCAACTAACAAGTAAAAGACGTATTTGGTTTATGATAAATGTTGTGACAAGCTGTATAATTTGCTCGATTGAATAAGGGAAAGCTTTCTTTTCTTTTCCTTTCCTAAGGTTTCTCATCGAACAAACAGAATCCAAACTGAGATATAAATCAAACTATTAAAAATGAAAGTTCAAAAACAAAAGAAAAAAAAAAAAAAAAAAAATAAAGTTTCAAAAACAAAAGAAAAAAAAAAAAAAAAAAAAAGAGCTTCCTCCCAATCAAACCGAAAAAAGAGAAGAAGAACAAGGAAGGGAGACTTATATCGAAAGAAATTTCGTTACCTGTCGTCTGTATTTTGTGAGCTCTACCGCTTGTAATACTGACTTTAATTAAAAAAAAAAAAAAAAAAAAAAAAAGCAGCTTCCCAATCCCAATCAAAACCGAAAAAAGAGAAACAAGAAGGAGATTATATGAAAGAAATTTCGTACCTGTCGTCTGATTTTGGAGCTCTACGCTTGTAAGTACTGATAAATTCGTGTTTAGTATTCTCCCAAAGCGCCAATTCATCGTCACCTTCGCGACAAATCGGAGCAGGACTCTGAACGGGCTTTGCAGAAGACGACGATGTGGATGGCTTAAAGAAGAAACTTATTTTGGACTGCATTTATTCATTGAATTCCCGTCTTCTTCTCTCCGTTAGAACCCATTTGGTTTCTTCACGTATATTTTCGCGATTTTAGCCCTTCGGCGCAAATTTATTTTAGCGGCAACAAGAATGAAAAGTTTAATTTCCCGCCAAATTCTGATTTTAATGGCTGAGAAATAGTAATAATAATATGAAATTAACATTAATTAAGAATAATATTTAATGATTTTTTCTTTTTGGATTTTCTACTATGAATGCTTCTCATGAAGAAAGTGGAAGTTTTTCATTTAAAATAGAACTTAAATTTGAATATTTTATTTATTCGAACGATAGAAATATCATGAAATTAAAAAAATTAAAAATAATAAAAGGTAACAATAAGTATAATAGTACTATATTTAAATAAAATTTATTTATTCGTTTCGAATCATTTTAAAAGCCCAACTGAATCATATAATTTTAATTTAACCTCAATTTTATAATTATATATAAAAAAAATTTAATTAAATTCAAGAAATTTACGAGCTACATGCAATTTAATTTCAAAATCCTTACAATATCAAATTTGAAAGTTAGATCAAGGTTAATGTTTGGAATTTTTTTTCCCAATTTCACAAATAATCTTTCCTTTGATATTAACATTTGCTGCTGTTAAAAGATATCATAACCCTAACCCTTAAAAAATAAAAATAATCAAATATGCATAGAACGATAATAGGACCTTTTGACTCAATTTCCTTTGGTTTACTCCTCTCGCTGGCTCTACTCACTTCTATTCTATCTTTATCCATCTATCTCTTTACGGATCGATCACCATATTGAAGAAACAGTAAATTTTTTTGTCCAGTAGATATACATACTGATATACAAAATTAAATAAAATAAAACAATGAACCATACCTTTATTCCCTAATTCTACCCATTCAAACCCAAAATCAGAAACTCTTGCTTGGTTTGGTTTGTGCCCAAACTCAAATGTACCCACTAATCTTAAAACCCTAATTTGCAAAAATCATGAGTAAAGTGAGAGAAGAAAAAGCGGCTTTCCCACATCTCATTGATGAAGAATTTGTCCTTATATTTTCTGCATTTTATAAGTGATATTCACGCGTAAATGAAGAGAACATTTTCACCTTAGAATCATCTATATTAGCTAACTCAAAACTGTAGGCATGCATGCCATTGCAAAGTGTGGAGGTACAATAAATCAGGGCAATACATCTTGCTATGCTGTTTGCGTCTCCCGAGGTAATGAAGTTGTCAGTGCCTTTAGTTGGTCTAATGCTCTTTGTATTCTATGCCTTTCTCCGATGTCCAGATTGCTTTCCTCAGAAGACTGCAAAACAGTAACAAGAGATGCAATAAAGTGCAGATTAAAACTGTATCACATAGACCTAGCACCTGCTAACTTCAAACAATTAAGCGGTACGTTTGAGCAAAATCTGTACCTGTAAAGAGCATATGTTTTCTGAAATAAGGTCAATCTCGGCCCTCGCTGAGGAAATAATTTGCTGCATTTTAGCATCCTTGTGCATCAATAATAGGATTGAAACAATAGCATTAATCCTACTCGAGTAACTCCTAGTATAACGAGTATGACCACTAGATGAAAGTGAACTACTTTGAGTTATCGATGAGCTCATCACATCCAGCACCAGATTCAAGAGCTTGGGACTTCTATCAAACAAGAAAAAACAAGGCAGAATATAGTAACCCCGTGTTAATACATGAACAGAGCCCATTGACTCCTCATCATCTCCTGGAACACACTGCAAGAAAGCAAAAATAATTTCATGATGAATCACACGGAATTGATGCACCAAAAGGACAACATAGTAAGCAAAAAGTTAAGGGAAAATAGACCCTCTTTTTCTCTCTGTTTTTTTTATAAAAAAAGAAAGAAAGAAAGAAAGAAAGACCAAAAGATAACATTTACCTAAAATCATTTAGAAAACCATAGCCTGGGTCCCTGCTAATTTAGTATTTCCCACTATTCTCTTCTGTGCATTTCATACATACATCAGGCATCCAGAACGGTACCGGGTATTTTTTTCACATAACTCTCTATATATAATAATGGAGGAAAAATGTACAAGAAATGAACATGTCCTAGTGAGATGGGTATGCACCTGACATCCAACTGAAGTCTTAACGACAGAAATTTAGGTTAAAACAGCAAGCTTAATCTCAATTTCAAAATCCAGCATAAAAATTATCCCGTTACACAGAGAAAATTAAATTAGATGCCAAGATATTTGATTATGACTAACTGTTAGCACTAGTTGAGCCTTCTTGGTCACAAGTTTTGAAATTAACATGTCTGAGTAAATAAATTTTCCATCTCTACCCATGCAGCTTATGAAATTTTTGGTAATTCATTGATAAATCACCAGGTGTCAGAAAAAGAAAAAGAGGAGGGAAAACGCAAATAAAATGTGAAATCGCAAAATGAATGCAACGAAAGGTCTGTGGTCATAGAAGGGTCAGAAGGGCTAGCTAATGCTTGAGGTTGACTATGCAACAATGTTCCCAGGTGTTTTAGAATACTTACGCTTTGTTTGGAAATGAGAGGAAGGAAAACAATGGAGAAAAATAATGAGAAATTGTCATTTCCTTTCCTATAGTTATTTTTCACCCTTGTGTTTGAATTAATGAAGAAAAGAAAATAAATTTGCTTTACTATGTTTGGAAAGGGCAAAATTTTGAAGGAAAGATAATGTTGTTATTGGAAATTGACAATTATGCGCTTATTTAAATTTTAAATAATAAAATGTGATTCTAGTTATTTTGGAATATTTGGATAATTTAATAAAAATAAGTGAACTTTTCATTTGTCTTCATTATTTTCTCTCTAAATTGGAGAAATTCGAAATATGTGGCCTGGGTGGAAAATAAGTGAAACATTACTTCTTTAATATTTTTCTCCCCTTTCCCAAATAATGAAAAACACCTTTCTCTAGATACTTTCCATGCCTATTTTTCTCCCTTCAAAAAAATACCCCCATCCAAACAAAGGCTAAGAATCGCATCAATTTATAAAAAGTTATAACTCACTGACAACATTATTTTCATTCTGAATGGCCCCAGAGATGCAAACTATCTGCATCTGCTGTTCACTTTTATCATCAGCTTTTCCTACCTTTCAGATTTATTTCATAATAATTTTTATCAGCTTAATGCATGCTGAAACAGCACAGAGCCACCATCTAATGACAACTTGCAAGGTTTTCCTTTTTATTAATGCAAGTATAAGCATCCAGCTCTAAAGTCTAAAGAGGAAAAAAAAAAAAAAAACTGTTATGCATATCAAAACTTCGCATAAAAAGAGACATCTTGCCAAAAAAAGAACAATCATTAGAGGACAGATGTTAATTTGAAACAGAGATACTTACATGCACAACATCAATAAGATATCCTGAAAGGAAATCACTCAAAGTGATGATACTTTGATCAGAAAGTCTGGTGGGCCTGGAGTCTAATGCAACAAGCATCCTCAGCATAGCACAGGCATTCTCCAGATGTGGCTTTAATAACTGAAATATGAACCATTATATCAATATAAGTCCTAATGGTTGTAAGGAACTTTTAAGGACCCCGTAAGATTTTTTTTTTTTTTTAAAGAAAAAACAAAGAATTTATCAAAATTAAAGTCTCAGAATATAAGTATGTACAGTAAGCCAGTGTAAAGAAAATTGTGACATGAAATAAAATGTGACTAATTTAACGAACTTACGAACTGCTCTAGTATAACTTTCTCCAGTATAAAAAAAACTAGAGTTTTATCACCCATCTGCGACAGGCATGAACAAACAACACTGGTCAACAACTTAAAAGTTCTACGATTTGATATCCTTGTATCTTCATTCATTGCAGGGGAAGTATTTTCTGCAGACATGAACATATTTTCAGATAGAAACTAGCTAAAATAATTGATCAGATTTTCTAGACAATAAAGAACTAATTCAACTTACCTGGAAAAACACTGAAACAGGAGACCAAAGTGATGAAAAAACTGATATGGTCAGTAATCTGAATATGGCCAGCTTTAAAGGCAGAATGCAAAACTTCTATGATCCGAAATAATACAAATGAATCTAACTCATGACCTGCAATATAGGAAAAGAAGATCAGAAAACATTAAGTTCCACCACAGCCAGTAAAAATGAATTAGTATTCTCCTTTGCTAGTATGTTGCCCTACTTTAATGCCATGGCATACTGTAAACTAGTAAGAAAATTTACTAAGAAAGTGATTGGACTATGACATCAAACAGCCCAGATGTTCCTAAAAGTAAAATACCAACTGGGGTGAGGTAATGACTGTGTTCAACTTCCAGGGGAACCTTATTCTCAAGGTGCAAAAATGTCTTCCATGATTGTTATAAAAGATAAACTCAAAAATAACTTCTCTTTCAATATTTTAAAATTTAAATGGGCATTTTGTTCAGGTTTCGTCCAGGATCAATTGTTCATTTTACGATCTACAGAATGAACTGTCTTGTGCCTTGAAGAGATGATTTTTGCTAAGTAATGAAAAAGACGCATGCATTCATAGAGGTGAGATTTCTTGCAGCATTTGCAGGAAAGTTGTCAATAATTAACTTGGAAGGACCATGAACATCAAATATGAATTTAATTAATATAAAAGCACCACACCTCAAAAATGCAGCTAATCATCTATTTTGTGTGAATTCCTCAAAGCCTCAGTACCAGGGACACCGGCACAGATTAGGTAATACTTTCAAAAAAATTGACAAGTAATACTCACAGAGGCAACAAGAAGCTATGGACTTCAAAAGAAGTGAATCCAAGTGAGAGAAATAATAAAGACAACAGATGGAGAGTTCTTGAGTCTCTCTTGGAAGCTTTATGAAAGGACCATAGCATATATTCCCTGATAAACACAAATGAGTACAATGAGGAAACATTTAGTTGAGCTCAGATGGACATGTAACCAACATGAAATTGTCAAGAAATCAGGACTAACCTTCTTCACATATGCTGAAGAACTCTTGCAGACGGTATTGCATGTCATCATATTCCAATGCAAGCAAAGAGTTCTTCATAGCACATTGAGCCACGCGAAGCAGAAGATGCAACACAACCTACAAGGATGATTGCTTTGATAGAGTTACTCAAGTGTTTCCAGGAAATGTTACAGATGGCAAGTATAGGGAAAATGCGTGAAAATCACTGTAACTTGTATAAGTACCTGGGAAGAGGTTGACTGCCTATCACCCAGCATGATTAACAACAGAGGCAGCTCTCTTATCCAAGTAATCTGATGATCCAGTAGCTCTGAATCACTTTCATCAGGGTAGAGCATTCCTTCTCTCTAAAAATTTTATAAAATAGATTGGAGAGGGAAATGGACACAGATTCAGTGGCTTACATACGGGAATGCCAAGTACAGATTCAAATAATAAGAGTAATTAAGGAGAAAGAAACTAGCTTTTCTGAGAGCCAGGGGTTGGACTTACAGGAAAAATCATTTTTTCAATTGCATAAAGGCAAGCCAATTTTACTGAAGATTCTGGATTGTAATCGAGGAATGTCTTTGTAAATGCCTGCACTTGAGGTTTGATTCTTTAATATCCTCATAATCAGCATTACAATCTCACAATTAGAGAAATTTAATTACCATAATATTCTGAAAGCACAATTCAAACCTGTAGAAGGCGAGACTTCCAATCGCCAATCACTTGTGCTACAAGTTTTGGGATAAAGGGAACTAGTGCAAGTATCTGCTTTTCTCTAAATGCTCTGCCAGACCTTGAGTCATTGCGAATCTGCAGAAAACATTAATAAAAATATAAACATGTTAATAAATCACCAAATGCACAATTCAGACTTAGGAATAGCATATATGATGATCCCTCAATTATACAATAGAAAGAAAACATTAGAAACTCCAGTAATTAATTCAGGCAGCATTCTTCCATTTTAAGGAGAAAATGTAAAATTATTTAAGATTCCAAATACTTTCTTATTTGAAAGTAATTCTTATTTGCAATTATGTGCTTCAGTTTTTTGGTTTACAGTTTGCCTTATTGTTATTTAAGCAGGTAATAATGCTTTAACATGGGACTACTGCAGTGGAGAGACCAGTATAACAAGCTGAATCAGTTTTGAGTTTCCTAAATTTTAGGGAGTAGGATCGATTGGGTCAAATTCAAAAAATAATATTAACATTTCCAAGAGACAAAGATTTCTCAATGAACATAACAGTAATATTTCAAAGTGATGCAACTTTAATTAAAATCTGGGATAGTGAGGAATCAAACCTTTATAAGCAGTGCATACTCTATAAATGCAAGAAATTTCTCTTGTAAGTCAGCAGGAGGGCAGATCAGTTCACTTAAGTTAAAAAATATTTCAGCAATCATTACGTTCAATATAAAGTATTTGTCATCATCCTGCAAAGCAATTGAAAACAAAAGTTGAGTACTACAAAAGCAAGAACAGTTACAGAATTTGAGACATACTAGAAGAGTGCATGTAGAAAGGAAAGACAAGTTACTAAAGAAAAAAACTTAACAAAGTTTTAAAGGGAGGAAACACACAGTGGAAAAAGAATGGATTATATCTCCATTTGTTTAGTTGAGAAGAAACAAATAAAAAAATAGTGAAGACAATTCATTTTTCCCCCCAAAAGCTAATCATATTTTATCCATCCATAAATGGAAAACAAATTATCCTTCAGTATGTTCAACCTCTTGAGTTCGTTTTTTAAATTCTGTCAGTTTTTACCATTCTTCTTAACCGAACAGACTAATGGAGAAACACACTGAAAGTAATGGTAAATTCCTACCTTTTCTGAAAGGTGATGCACTGGATTGAATGGGAATACACCTAGCAACTTCTTCAGTAATGTTGATGAGATGCTTTGATCCAACATAGGAGGATGTGATTCTGGATTATCCTTGTTGGTCTCGTAAACCAGAAACCAGATTACAAGGTCAATGCTCCTAAGAATGCTATGCATGCAATCAAATGATTGTACATCCAGCATTGGTAGACTATGAATTAACGGAATAAAGTCTTGGAAGCAATTGACTAAAACTGGAACAAAGTCCTTTAGCTTATTGATGATGACAGAAAACTCTACACAAACAAAAAGAGAGAAGGTTTGGCACATTAGCATCTAAAATTTGGACTATGACACAAACAAGAGAGGATGACTATGGTCACACCTCATACCATTAATGTGTAGAATGCTATCAGGTATAACAATCAGCTATCAGTAAATTTCTTCTCAAGAGCAGGAAGCTAATTGATATAAGCTAACAAACAAAAAGTAGCTAACAATACTTTAAAAAGAAAAAATTTATACAGAACACACATCAATGGTACAAATGCTGGCATTACAGCTAATGCAAAACTCACCATGTGCATGTGTGTTTATTTTATATATACACATCAATGCGGTACAAATTGCTGGCAATTTTACAAGCTTAATGCCAAAAACTCCACCATGCTTGCATGTTGTTTATTTATATATATATATATATAAATATATATATATATATAATATAAATCATGAATTGCAAGAGAATGATAGCATTATAAAGCAATATATATAAATCATGAATTGCAGAGAGAATGATAGCATTATAAAGCATGTAATTAAGCTTAAGATTCAAAGCAATACCAGCATATTCTGTAGCCATGTCTGACTCAAAAGCATGCAGCATTTCTTGCCTGGGAACCTTCTATCATTTTTAAAACAAAAAAATATATATATATTATTAGAAAACAATGGACAATTAAAAAGCAAAAGGCTTAAGAACTTCTATTTTCCCATTGTTCCTAGATGGCACCTTCTCGAATGGGTCAGCTTCTATTTTATTAGATGGCAACAGAGACAAGCAGCGGACTAGACCAGCAAGCACATTTTTGAGCTTGCCCTTGTCTTCTAAATAGAACTGGTTCTTCCGTAGAATATCCCCATAATTTTGAATAACCTGTTAATGAACAACAGAATGAAATAACATCAGTTGCAAACATCATATTAACTAAAGTTCATAATTACTTCATTTGACAAAATGTGAGGGTTTGAATGCACCAGTACTCTTTCTAAGAATTGATTATCTGTGTGGTTATTTTGACAATCCATTGCCATTCTCTTTTGCTATAAAACCATTACCTTTTGCTGTAAAATAACCTAGAACTTCTGCATCAACAAACTGCTTCACCTAAACCCTCGTCTCTATCTAGAAAAACCAGGAAATCTACCAAAGATTTGAAAAAAAGATGTCCTTCAAGCAACTATCATACACTTATGTACCACGTACAAAACCACATTTGCCTTTTCAATTTCAACAATATTATGGCCTCAAGTCCTTTTATTAGAAAATGAAAAATTAGTAACAGAAGTTTGACATTTGGATTCAGAACATTATACAAGCAACATCACCTGCTACAAAAATTAATTAGTCTTAAATTATAATACAAACAAACATCAACCAAATAGATTCTCAAATTAGCAGGATAAACAATGCAGTCAAAATGTCTAAATATCATAATTCAAAGTAAGATACCTTTTCAGCATACATGGAAAATGCAGCTGGATAATGTTGTACAACAAGATCAAAAAACTTGAAAGCCATAAGCCGAACTTCAATTGCTAAATTTGTCATTGCATTAAAAATGTATGCCATCGTTAAAGAAATGAAAGGCCCTTGATTATCCTGGACAAGTAGTGCAGAGAAACAACTGTCAAAGCAAAAGATAATTTAATGATGATAAAGAGTAAAACAGTAATTATTGATAGAATGTCTCATTAAAATGAGAAAAGAATGAATAGTAAAGGAACAGAGCGGCAAATGTTATACGCAAATTGTGAATGCAGTGACAAGAAAGAAAACAAATACACTATGAAACATAATCTTGTTTTGACTTTGGTGAATGTGACGTCTAGAATTGAATAGAAACAACTAATCTTCATTCTCACCTAAGGTTGTATTCATATCTGCTAAACAAAAAGCCAAAATGTACATACTACATCCCACTGTCTAAACCTTTTCTTGGAAATTCATTCCCCAAAGGAGCACCAGATATCCAACAGTCTATCAAACAATATTCTAAGAGTCTGTTTGGTTTAGCTATTCAGACTAGCTAGCAGCTGATAGTAGTTGTTGATAGTAGTTGTTGATAACTAGTGGCTGATAGCTGGTGATTGGTAGTCTTAATGTTGGTTGTTTGGCAAGATTTTAGAAGTGGTTGCTTTTAAAATGCAAAATGACCATTAAGTATAGAATTATTTTTATATATAATTTGTTTTATTTTTATAAGTAAATTTCTTATTTTCTATTTTAATATGTTAAATATATAAAAAATTATTAATTAAAATTTTATAATAATATGTAATAGATATTTATTATTTTCAAACAATTATGAATAAAATGATCATATAAAAATATTAATTTAAAAAAATTTTAGTATTTATTTTTATAATGTTAATATAGCCAAATTAATACAAATAGAAATCAGCTAAAAGGTGATAAGAAAAAACTCCAAAATACTTAATGGAATTAGCAGCGGATTGAAACGTGTATCAGCTATGAGCTGCTATGTTGATTAAAATCCTTACCAAACACCTCTAGCCTAATTGTTTGGTTCAGATCAACTATCTTTTACATGAATCAGCTGAACCAAATGTCCCCTAAGTATTCAAGCATCTTCAAGGTCTCAAGTAATATAAGAATTTTAATAGTCCATATCAAGTACTTGAAATGGAAGACAGTAGCTACAAGTGATACACGCTAATATGCTTCCCAAAAACAAAGCCAAATAATCGTTAACAAAACGATCAAATGCAGTTGGCTCATCTTTTGTTGATAACTAAAAGACAAGGAAACATGTTATCCCAACCCCACCACCCAACCCATCCCCAACAAAAAAAATTATAATTCAAAGAATTGAGAGAAATCACCACACAACATTTATGGTACCAATGATAAAGACTGTCCTTATAGATCTGAAGTTGTCCAATTAAATATCCAATACAAATATGAGCTTCCAAGCAATAGAGAAAATGAAGAATCACCTCTTTGCATCCAGGTAAAATCACTGACTTAAGAAGTTGATAAAGGGTTTCTCGAACCATTTTATCATCATCACTGATGCGTTCACGTAGTTTTTCTATAACCGCATATTTGTGCAATTTCAGCTCTTCTGGATGCTTGACAAATAAATCCCTCATGCCCATCAATGCATCTTTTAAAGGAGCCAAAAACAATAAACAAGAACTCTTATCAACATCAAGATCGCCGCTGAATACAGAATAACAAATGCAAGGGCTAAAATACAGACAATAAAAATCAATATAGAGACAACTTTTCAAGTAACTTCCACTAATGTATAAGTTCAACCTAAGCTTCATGAACTAATAACAGAAGCACTGGAAACCTGTATATTTTATGAATAACATGCACAACTGACTCACATGATGACAAAAAAATTAAACAATAAAAAACTTCAACAAGAATATAAAAGAATCATGTAGATAGTAAAAACAAATATGCAGGTAAATTTCAACCATAAGAGAAAACAGTATTCAGTTACACTACTGGAAACATTTAAACCCCTTTGATACATATCCAATGATAATATTAGTCTAGAGTTTCAATATTTCCTTACCCAATCCTTGCCCAGAGGTCAAGAATATAAGTTCCTCTCTAAGTTAAATAACATATGTTAATATGTGGTTTTCTCCCTCCAACCAATCACTAAATGTTTAAAACTCAAGCTATGAGAATCATGCAACTGCCTTTCTCCTACATTTCTTGGTAACCAAAGGATTATATTGTTTGATATTACTCACAAGCTTGAACTCTTCAAGAGAGGCCTTTCACAATAATTCAATATTTTGATAGCAATGATGAAATACCTTTACGAATTTTTGCATTATGGTGGGAGGTTTGTTGAAGAAGCTCTTTCAAAGTCAAGCCTTTCTTACTCACAGCTAAACCCGATTTCTCTGATGCCACACTCTGCTCAGGAAGAACAATTGCTGCCCAAAATATATGCAAGTTAACTTTCAAGAGTCATGCTACTTCACAAAAGGCCATTTACAACTGAAAATATAGCAGCACATAAAGGGTCCATTAAACTTAGCAGAAAGTATTTGCGAACACATGAAACCTAGAGGCTTTATTCTTGACTTCTCGTCAAACATTCTATACTAACAAGCTGCAATTTTAAGTAATTACACTTCAAGCATAGTTTTCTGGAAAAATTCATTCAGATAACAAACACAGAAATTAACTTTCCTTTTCGATAATTAAGAGGGAGTGCTACATCTATTATTTGCTTTTGGCAGCTAAACAAAAAGATCTAACCTTTCTTCTTCAGAAACAATATTTTCCAGCGAAATAAAAATTTAAATAACTAAACAGGAGGAATGAAAAATAATGAAAAATAATAATAGTACTGATAATAAAGCTTCCACTTTATTACCTTTGGATTTAATTTCAGTGTTTGTAGCATTCTTAGGTGGCGGCAATTTCCTGCCTAGCTTCCGCTTAATTTTCTACAGATAAAGAAAAGGAAACAGAATCCATCTTAATAAGCCAACAAATTTGGAACACAGAACAGAGAAATTAGATTGTTAATAGGTAGATTACTCACCTTGAAATCAACACCACGCTTTTGCTGCTTCTTTGAGGAAGCCTTAGTTTTTGCCATTTTCACTGCGAATTACAAAATTAAACAAAAACCAAATAAATTCGATTTAGACTCTTGCTAAATGAATGTAATGTCGATGCTCGTGCTAGTTTATCTTTTCGCTAGGCCATGTAGAAGCCTGACTGTCTGTTTGGCAGCTGAGAAAACGAAGAAAACAAAATTTCACGAACTAAACAGATATATAGCAAGAGTTACATGTGGAAATAGATGAAGAGCAACAGAAATTGAAGAACCTATTTGGTGCTGCCGGAGTAGAAACTGAAGAGAACTCTTAACAGGAAGAAGATGATAACTTCAGTATTCACAAAAAAAATTTGAAACTTTGCTGTATATGCTTTGGAATAAAATGGATCAAGTTTGCCCGAAAGCCCGAACTACCTGATCTGGATTCTAGCTATCCGGGTTTCAATAAACCCGAACCATACTTGAAAACCGACTGCCAAATAATTTCTATTTTTTTCCCAATTTTCTTGGGTAGCATTATTGCTACATAGTATTATTTATTAATGACAAAATAATGGATTTATTAAAATAATACATTTCATAATTTTCAATTAATATAATATACTATAAATTCCTAACAGGTGATTTCAAAATAATATTTTCTAATTATTAATCATAAGTCCATTACCTAATCTCTATTTGTTTTAATGACAATCTTCATGACTATAGAACTATTAATTGAATTTTGACACTTTCTTGTATATCATTTTGTAGAAAAGTATATATTGATAGTTAATTTTCAGCCTTTACCATAATTAATATGTATTTACATTATTAGAGATTTAACTGTAAACACGGTAATAAATTATTGTTGTACTGTTTTATATACAATTGTATGATTTATATAATAGATCGCCAATTCTACGTGATATTTGTTTTTTCTTTTAGTTAAAGAGGCAATTTTCAATGGTCTTCATTTCATGGGATTGTTAAATTGAATTGAATTTTATAAATATGCTATTAAAATAATAGTGTAATATCATTTTAATAAAATAAATTGCAAAACAGTCAATATATTACTGTGGTAAAAAACTGATACGACAATATTATTACCCTTATTTTTTTTATTAAGGAAGCTTTTAAGTCCCTGCTATTACATAATTGGAATTCAAATAATTCTTGTGATTAAAATATTAATTTTTGAGAGAAAAATATTAATTTTTTGAGATTAAAATATTAACTTTTAATCCTTCAAAAAGAGAGGTTTTATTTCATTCATTAATTTTCGGGTTTCAGGATTTTGGGCTAACATTCTCGGATTTGGGTACCCGAAATGCTTTAACTTTTTAACGGTGGCGGCACTATCTGTTTTGGTCTAGCCTGAAAGTCCCAAAAAACCTAACTATCCTTTCTTTTGTAGTGTAGAGATCCATTAACGAACTGCACTTGGCTCGGAGGATCTCAACCAGAAAAGGAAAGGCCCCAACTTCTTGCCTCAAACAGCGCGCTTGAGTTACTACTAGGACTAATTCTCTTGTTTTTAGGGATGAAACTCAACGCTCTAATGCAACAGCAGCAGCAACAGCTGCAGGAGCCTCAGCCGGTAGGTATCCAGAATTCGAACCAGGTTTCACCAGCGGATGCGCCGCCGAAGCAGGTGGCAATGGCGATGGATAGACTGGCCCAAGCAGCTCGCCTCATTGCTGACGTGAGGCTCGGCGCTGACCGCATCCTCGAAGCACTTTTCATCACGGCGCAGCCTCATCAGAGCAACAAGCCCTTGCAATTGTTCCGCAAAGAAGACACTGCCATGCGGCAACACCTTGAAGAACTACGTTCCGTTGGTATGTTCTGTAATATGCATTTGCATTTCTCCTTGTAATTTCAAGCCCTTTAGGGTTATTTGTTTATTATTTTTCTTTTTGGCTTGGTAGCAGATGATAATAAAAATGCAAATATACTATACTAATGGAATGTCCCATATTTTACTTCCATTTAATGGAGAAATTGGAGAACAAACATATTAGTTTCTGGGCCGTGGATAATTTTAGTTTTCTGTATCTTTTTTGTTTTGCTTAACTTCTGTACTTAGGTGCTATTCTTCATGAATTTTGGATCTTTATAATCTTGTTAGGAAGGCAGCTAGAAGAATCTGGGGTTCTCAATGATTCTCTAAGATCACGAAGCAATTCTTGGGGTCTGCACATGCCATTGGTCTGCCCAGATGGTGCAGTGGTTGCATATGCATGGAAACGGCAACTTGCTGGCCAGGCTGGTGCATCAGCTGTTGATAGAACCAGGTTGGTTTGGAGATTTTTATGTTGTTATGGAAAATGCCTATATCAATTTGAAGTTCGATCCCTTTTCTGGCCCTAAACAAGAAATTCGGCTGCCTGTGTAGCATGGGTGTTAGGGCTCTGAGTGCAATTGTCAACAATTTGACTTATACACAAAGAATAGTCTATCTATCATCACATTTAGGTTGAGGACTCAGTTAAGTTAAAGTATCAAACCAACATGGTTTGTTTAGTACATGCTCTATTTTTGTCTTTTTCTACTAAGTTGTAGTTCTGAATGTATGCAGGTTAGCTCTTAAGGCATTCACAGATCAGAAAAGACGTTTCTTTCCTCATCTTGATGATGGATTGGATGGTCAAAGTGCTGAATCAATGCCAAAGAGACATTGCAGTTCCCAAGTACTATCAGCAGCTCTTCAAGAAGATCTTAGTGATTGCAAAACATTATCGGACATTCTAGTACGTGTGGAGAAAGAAATGCCTAATTTGAAAGTTTTCACTTATGAACGACTCGATTGGTTGAAAAGAGCTTCTTCACTGCCAACTTCAGCAAATGAGAATCCTATGGAAACATCAAAAGAGCATACTTTTCATACTTTAAATAAACTAAGAACAGGATCGCAGGGCTCATCTACCTCTGATAAGGTTGCTGTAATTGAATTGTTGTTTCCCTCTGTCTTCAGAGCTATTGTATCATTGCATCCAGCTGGTTCTATTGACCCAGATGCCGTAGCTTTCTTTTCACCAGATGAGGTAACTTGTTTTTGAGGTGCTTGTTGTATAGACTCTAGTTTCTCCTTACATTGGGAATTTCGTATGATTGGTTAGTTTCATTCGTCACGGTTCACATTTTACAATATTGCCTTACTTCACCATATGAATGTTTTACTGCACCTGATAGTTTAATGATTGTTCTTCTATGTGAAGATTCATTTTCAGATATGCAATAAAAAATTGAAGGCTTGCATTTTAGTGCTTGCTTGGTGGATGTGCTCATGGTCATATTATATCTGTATTTTAATATCAATATGGGTGTGTGACAGTCTTTTTTTTCTTTTGCCAAGGATTTTCGGATAGTGTGATTGTAATATCCTGACGCATGGTTAGGTGTTCAATTGATGCATCCTGCTGATGATATTTGGAAAAGTGGAAATCAATGATTGTAATCTTGGCAATTTGTTTGGCCCTTTGCAGGAAACCTATTGGCTCAGAAAACACGTTTTCATTTGTTGAGAATTAACATGTGTTGATGAGACTGGTAATAGGGATGTGCAGATAGCCTTGAACAAGTGATCTAGGATCTAGATATAAAGTGCCACATCAAGTGAATGGGGAAGAGGTTTGCCACATAGTAAAATAAGAAGTTCCCCATTCATTTATTTGGCGGGACAAAAGTTTATCCAGTGGTTTGAACTTAGAATTCATAATTGTAGGCCATAGGTAATGAATCCATAGGGATTGGGTGGGATCTTCTAAAGTTGGTAATCCCTTTCATGTAATCCAAGTTCTAATGTTTCATTTACAATTGGAGCTAGAATTTTGCTAATGAATGGACCCCAAGTAAATTAGGATTTTTGATCACTAGAGTCTTGCGTTAGTCATTTATGAGGTCTAATATGGTCTTGGTATCTGGCATGGTGTCATCACTTCAACCTTTTGAATTCAGCAGTAAACTAACATGATATGACAACCAGTTACATATCATATTTATTATACTTTTGTTTGTTGTTGTTGCACTACATGCTAGTTCCATTAGATATGGTTATCAGCTACGAAATTATGTTGATCCGCGTACAGTGCATTAAATAATCTTATGTTGTTCATTTACAAAGTTAGACATTGGTCATTTTACGAAGTTAGTTAATGCATAATCCAATGCTTTTGAGTTTGCTACTTCCTTGTTACCCTTATCATACTGAATTCATTATCGACTTGTTTCTTTTATGCTGCATTTAGCTGACATTATTCATCTTTTACATAATTGAATAGGGAGGCAGCTATATACATGCAAGAGGTTTTTCAGTTTATCATGTATTTAGACAAACCACGGTAACCATTCTCTAATTTTCTCTCTTATTGTGCTTGCTGAAGTGTTTGAATGTTTCATTTCAAGCTTATTTCTTTTAATGCTGTTGCAGGAGCATGCTACAATGGCTTTGCAACATTTTCTTGGTATTGGGACTGAAACAGCATTGTACTTTCTTTTGGTATGCTTCTCAATTTATGAATGCTGGTTTTTTTTCATGTTTTCATAAGAAAATGAGTCAACTTCAGGACATTTATGTTGTATATTTTTTGTTCCTTTCTTTTTGTAGCATTGGATTTGCAGCTATCAAACACTATTTACCAAAGTTTGCAGGTGACAGTTGCTTCTTTTAACTTTACGAGTTTATGCAACTGATTTGGATTATGAACTCTTTAGTTGTTGGTGCAGTAAGTGTGGGCGGTTATTGGCAATGGACCGAGAATCATCAGTATTGCTACCTCCAGTTCATCGGCCTTATCGGCATTTTTCTCCTTTGAAAGTTTCGACAACCCCTCCTATTTCCTCTACCAAGGACCAGACACCAGGAGCTTATCACATTGGTTGCTTCTCAGAGGACATGTCGTTTCCCAAAGGATTGACAGGAAAGGTTAAGCAAGAGTGAAATTTTTCGGGTAAGATTTCCAGTTCACTGAAGAATAGCAGAAATATGTATTTCACTTAGATGTAGGGGCTAATATCAATTTGGATTTGAAGATCCGTGGCACTGACCCAAAAAAGAAAAGAAAAGAATGTTGCTGTAGTTTGCGTCATAATTATAATTCAATGCACTTTGACAACTTTTAGATACGAGTGTGAATGTGTGATTACAGAATCATTGTATAGATTTAACCGTAGAATGATTCGTATTAAATGCTATTTGACCGTGTGATTTACGAGTCCTTGTATTGTATAGGTTTACCCGTAGAATGATATGTACTCCGTTCATTTTGAAGACATATTTTAAAAACCGACATTGCACAAAGATTGGTTTGCTTAACTGTTAGCTACTTACATATTTTGATATGATCTTTAATAATATTTGATTGATTGATATCTTAGTATATAACCAGAAAATCTTGTACTGCTTGTATGTGTAGGCTTAATGCATAAACTCACCCGTATGTTTTATAAAATTTTGTAGCATTCTTAATTTTTACTTTGATTATAAATGAGCATTAAAGAGTTTAAATTGCCAAACTACACGAAAATGTCAATTTGAAATGGTTTGATTGGTTTACAGTTTGATAAATCGCTTTAAAAACAATTTGATTTGATTTTTATATAATTAAATCATTTAAAACTGAACCAGAAATAATAAATTCTAAACCTTGATGAGACACAAAGTTTAGAGTATGGTATTTTTTTTCGGATGTTATCTTGTATATCATGTATGAATTCATTAAAATGTTGAATTATAATCAACATGATTTTTTTTTTTTTCGTTTTACATATATTTCAAAATCTTCACAATTATTTTGATATTCTACGATGTTCATTGCGTTAATTTTAATTATTATGTTTTACATCTAATTTGAAGCTTTAGAGATACACTTTGTGAATATGATAGTTTGTTTTCAAAGTCATTTCTTATGTTTTCAATATTATAATATTGAAAGACATTTATTTATTTTACAAATAGATTCTTATAAGTAAGGTCACACTTGGGTGACCATAAATGTTACTTGCATGTGATATTTTTGTTTTTATTGCATAAATTGATATTTTTTTATTATGCTTCTTTGCTATAAAACATTAAGCGTTTTTTTCCTAGTTGTTTTTTTTTTTTTTTTTTTTTTTTTAAGATTTATTTATTTTACAAATAAGATTCTTATAAGTAAGGTACACTTGGGTGACCATGAAATTGTTAACTTGCATGTTGATATTTGTTTTTTATTGCATAAATTGATATTTTTTTATTAATGCCCTTTCTTTTGCTATAAACATTAAGCGTTTTTTTCCTAGTTGTTTTTTTTTTTTTTTTTTTTTTTTTTTTTTGTTATGTTATATATTATATATTATACATGAATTCATTGCACAATTCATTAAATCATTTTAATGCATCAAGCTGCACCAAACTGCTTTATTGCGACCTGATTTGATTTGGTTTCATTGATTAAACGGTTTGGTTTGAGTTAAAAACTATGTAAATCGTAATTTCTGGTTCTATTTGGAATTTTTTCAAACTTTGCCAAACCGAAACGTTTTCATTTTTAATATTGACTATTGAACACCTCAATTTATAAAGTTTCTCAATTTAAATATTTGAATTTAACTCATTCAACACCATAAACACTTATTGGTTCAATACCTCAAACACTTATTGAATAGTTGAAAATAAAAAATTATTATTTAAAAATTATGCTATTTATGTATCAAATTTATTTGCATATAAAAGCTAAAAATTTTAAAAATTATTGTTACTAGTAGAACTGTGTAAATTCATTGATCAAATTGGACCAAAAACTGGCCAATTTTGGTTCGGTTCAGTCAGTTATTCAAGCGAGGTTTGAATTTTTTTTTTTTTTTTTTTTTATGTTGGTTCGCGTTCAGTCAGGTTAGTTCGAAGCGGACGGTTTGTTGGAATTTTTTTTTTTTTTGTTTTTTTTGGTTGAATCGAATTTAATATCCAATTTGATGATTTCATAGGAAATTCATCGTATTAGCTTAAAACTGACCGACAATGGCAAAATGACCAAATATCGAATTGTCGATTCAATTCAGATTGCCGAATTTCGTATTTCAATTTAGTCTATTGCTCAAAAACTTTTGGGTTTGCAATTTTGTGTTTTTGTTTATTTCAGGTTTCGAAGTGAACTGGCGGATTGGTTCACCCCTAATGGCTAGTGTCTGCTGTGTATGAAATTATTATTAAAAAAAATACTCATTCCGTTTTACCGTTTTTTTTTTTTTTTTTTTTTTTGAATCGAATTTATTATCCAATTTGGATTGATTTCATAGAAATTCATCGATTAGCTTAAAACTGAACCGAAATGGCAAAAATGACCAAATCAATTGTCGATTCAATTCAGATGCGAATTTCGTATTTCAATTTAGTCTATTGCTCAAAAACTTTGGTTTGCAATTTTTGTTTTTGGTTTGATTCAGTTCGAAGTGAACTGGCGGATTGGTCACCCCTAATTGCTAGTGTCTGCTGTGTGAAATTATTATAAAAAAAATACTCATTCCGTTTTACTTTAATAGCGACAAATAAGCATTTATTTCAATTTAAGTGCTTATTTAGAATTTTGAAAATATATTAATTATGTTTTTTAACTTTACTCTTATTTATTATGTGTAATTTATTTTTATCTTTATATTTAAGAAAGACAATTTAAACATCGTATCATATATTATTAAAAAATAATAAATTTTAATCATTTTCTGAAAAGAGAAAATGTTGATGAACGAAGGGAGTAAAATTTATGGTATTACAAGATCAATTTTGAAATTTAGAGACTATTTTGTTTTTTTACCAGAGTGTAGGAGTTAAATTTATGTATTTAGCATGTATGTATATGGTCATGATTTTATGCATAGAGCATATGCATTGCATAAAACCTGGCTAGAAACTGTTATAGGGCTTCAGACTGCAGCAGAGGCATAGACCAAAGCATATACTGCCACCGTGCCACGTAGTCTCTTCTTTCTGATGATCTATATTTTTTATATTTTTGAGAATTAGATTTATCCAGAAGATTCCATCTGTAGGTTAGATAAATTAAAATATAATTTTGAAAAGAATTATTCTTTTTTTTCTCAATAAACGGTTAAATATTTTATTTTAATAAAAAAATATTTTTCATTAATTTGATCTATAAATAAACTCAGAAATCGAGTAATTTCATCTTAATTAGATATTCAAATTATTCGACTTTACCCTCAAAATATATGAATTATTATCTCGATATTATTATAAATGTATAAAACTATAACATTAAGCCTAAGCTATTCCCAAATTCTTCCTTAAACCATTTTTTGAAATAAAAAAAAAAAAAAATTAACATGATAGTCTCAATCAGCAAACATCCCTCAATATCGCCAGCCTATTGCATTTGATTGGTGAGAAGCAGCAGCAGCATATTTCCATAGCCTAATGAGACCAAACCCTTGAAAAGCAACCCACATGGCCAAGCATCAATCAGCCATAACCAGTCCTGTTATATGTTCCGTATATTTAATAATATATGGTTGCAATAACGATAATGACATAAATTTCTTTGATCGCCACTTCAATCTTTATCTTCCCAACCTTTGCTGGATGTGGATCCTCTTACCGGAATCAATTTGCCTACTCAGGAGGGGGCCATCAATAAACATATGTGTGATCATGACCTCCATTTTTGCCGGTAAACCATAAAACCAGAGTTTCATTAAGTAACACTCTCAGTTTCCTCGGAATTTCCTTCCATTTCGATCATACGTCACTTTCTATCCTAATTTTCTGTCGATTTGATTTTACTTGCTTTACCAAATAAAGGAGGAGAAAGTAAGAAGAAAGAACCTTTCTTGGATTATCATTCAGCGTATTCATAACTCCGTGTACACATGCTTTTAAAAATATTTCCAACCCAACCCACCTAAAATAAACAACACCGCTTAGGCTATGTTCGACAATAACTTTTTTTTAAAAAATAGCTTTTAGAAATTAAAATAGCATTTTGAAATGTTTGACTTTTATGACAAGTTATTCAAACAACTATTTGCTACTAAAACAGCTAATGCCCTTAATCTTACTTACATTCCAATCATAAAACACCTTAGGAAATGGCCATAATCAGGTTAGATGGGTTTCATTTATTCACAATGGCAAAAGACAGCTAAAATTTGGTAAACAAAGACGCAAAGATGCTTCCATACATTTATCTGATAATAATCATTCCCATGGAAAAGTCATCCATAATTATTGATGGAAACATTTTAACATTCGCAATTTCGTCGCAGATGAGCATAAATGAAACTAAAGAGTATAGTACATCTAAGTTTTGGCTAAAAATGAACATATTTTAATGAAATTCATGGATATAATCAAGAAATAATTGACAAATAGTCTGCATTCATCATTCTTCTCTATCTACATTACCAATAGCATTTAAAATCTCACCTCTAAAAATTCAAAGCCTGCATGAGACCTCTTAAACATTTGGAATGCACAATACATCATAATAGCATTGACAGTACGACACTATATATTGACAATGAATTCTAACACAGAAACAACACAGCATAATATCTACAGCTAGAAAAAAGAATTTTTGTTGAAGAAAGGCAACAGCAAACCTCTTTTAACGACCATCTGCAGAAGTAAAAGACTCTGCAAAGCCAGTTGGCCTTGCCGGTATGCTACTCTTGCTGTCTTCTAGGTCCACATAACTGAAGTCTTTTCCTTCTGCTTCCTGCCAGCCCTTCACCATCTGATTAAGTGGGAGGCTATAATCAATACCACAATACTCTTCTGTGTCATCATCCAAAGGTTTCCATTTTTCGACAAGTGGGGCTAATACATTCACAGCATGGCTCATATCTGGCCTTTGACTTGGTTCTCTAGCTGTGCAATGCCCAGCAAGTTCAACTATAGTGGAGATACTCTGAAATTTTTCATCTTTCACATCAAGGGCAGGGTCAATGGCAGCCCTCAGTTTCTGCTCATCAGATTTAATACGCCAAAACCATGCAGCCAAGTACTGGCTCTCCTCTGGCCGGTCCTCATCGAGTGCCATCAACCCAGTCAACAGCTCCATTAACACAACTCCAAAACTAAAGACATCGGCCTTGGTTGTGATTTTTCCAGTCACTACAACAATTAGCATCAGGATGTGAGTGTCACTAGGATAGTGGCATTGGTGTAGCTCAAGCAGAGTACAGGAAAATAAAATTTATTCTAACAATCTATTCTGAAAATAAATTCTTTGACATTTGTAACTTGTTCCAGAGTTTTCATTTCCTATTGAAGTAATATTAAGGGTTTTAATTTTTTAGTCAAGATTATATACCTTAACTTGGGCATGAAATTTTCACAGCAATCAAACATTTACCTACATTTTTCAATTTTCTTTTTAAATTAATCTGAACCGCCAAAAGTTTCATATGAGCAAAATTAACTTAATTTTGAATTTTAAAACATTTTAATTTCAACTAACACTCATAAAAATCACAAGATATATTGGGGAAAAGGGGGGGAACAAAACCCCCTTTTTTTTTTTGGAAAATTATATGTCACTTCAGCAATTACATAGTAACTGCAGCAAACCCAGAGAATATAGAATAGAATGCCTACCAGCATATTCTGGAGCCAAGTATCCAAAAGTTCCAGCAAGCCTAGTTACCACAGATTTCTCCCCATCAGGAGCAAGTTTTACCAATCCAAAATCTGAAACTTTTGCCCTGAAATCATCACCAAGCAAGATATTTGATGATTTGAGATCTCTGTGTATGAAGCTTCTGTGAGCTAAATTATGAAGATACTCCATTCCTCTAGCAACATCCAATGCAATATTTAACCTCCTCTTCCAAGAAAGAGGTTCCAATTTCAGGCTTTTCCAGTGGAAAAGATGCTTACTTAGAGCTCCCTGAGGCATATACTCATATACTAGAATTCTCTCATTTCCTTCAATTGAATAACCCAAAAGTGATACTAAATGACGATGTCGAACCTTTGAAAGAACAGCAATCTCAGATTGAAATTCATCCAAGGCTTTGGTGCTTATAATACCAGCCTCCATTCTTTTTACTGCTATTTTTGTTCCATCATCCAATTCTCCTTTATAAACCACTCCAAACCCACCACGGCCAAGCTCATTCTCCGGGGCAAAATTCTTTGTAACATTTCGAAGAACTTGAACTGATATAACCAGATTTCCTGCTTCAATGACATGAGAATCACCAAAACCACTACTATTTCTGCTTGCAGAACCACTCCCTGTTATGGTAGAAGTACTTCCATTGGTGTGATTAGCAACAGCAATCTTAACCACGTTATCTGAATCAGATGGATCTCTTGGGTGGATAACTAAAGAAGTTGTAGCCTGGTAAGTGTCTTTTCTCTTCTTACAATAGTAAATAGATAAAGGAATAATCAAAATAGCAACAGCCGCAACACTTGCAACAGGAGCTACAATTGCAACAAAAGTGGACCTCTTAGTACCTTTCTCATTTCTTGATTCCATAGAAGACTCACGGGGTCTGGGACCTGTGCCTTTGGTATTTGGAGATTGGGTTTTCGGTGAATCTGAACTTCCAGAAGATGGATTGTTATCATTAGGTGGTGGGATGTCTGGTTTGGACTTATCACCATTGAGTAGAGGATTCCCAGTAATAACAACATTCACAGTATTAGAGAAATTTGGAAATGGAGGGTAAAGGTTGTTATAGCTAAGATCTAAAGTTTTCAAGGAAGTCAAGTTAGTCCAGTTTGTTGGAACTTGACCACTAAGATTGTTACCCCCAAGTTTGATTTGATGAAGAGAAGCTAGATTTGCAACTGAAGGACTCAAGGTACCACTAAGATTAAAATTAGGCAAAGCAATTGAATAGACCATACTAGAATCACAAGTAATTCCAACCCATGATGAACATGGATCATTACCAGTCCATGAAGAAACAAGTCGTTGAGGATAATTCAAACCATCAAGGAAATCTATAAGTGCCATAACTTCTGGGGCACAAGGAACCCCTGCAGTGGATTGACAAAAAGGATTTGGAGTACAAGACACCTTAGCTGCTTTAAACTTTGGCATTGGGCCCATCAATTGATTATTATTCAAATCTAAATGCTCCAAAGGCAAATTTATCAAGCTATAAGGAATTAATCCAACAAGCTTATTGCCATTAAGATTAAGATCCTTCAAAAGAGTCAAACTACCAATGCTTTCTGGAATTTTGCCTGTGAATTGATTCCCATGAAGCCACAGAACACTTACTGATTCCATTGTTGCCACCAAATCAATTGTACCACTCAAGCCACCGCCTTTTTGATCATTTAGCCACAGATTCTGCAGAGACATACCACCTCTAAAGCTAAGAGGGATTTCACCAGATAAATTATTGCCTGAAAGTCTCAGGTTTTGCAAAGAAAACAAATTCCCTAAAAAATCAGGCAATGGTCCAGCCAGATTACAGTACATACAAGAAAGAGTTGTTAATTGTGAAGAATTCTGCAACGTATCAGGAAATGTCCACCCTGTAGTGGCATTAAAAGGGTTATTATCCAATGCCAAGACTTGCAAATTCACTAGACCATCAAAAAAATCAGATGGGATAGAATCAAACTGATTATAATCTAAATAAGCATACTTTAGATTTGATAACCCATTAAACGATGGTAAAGGCCCTGTAAATTGATTCCTTTGAAGGCCTAAATTTTCAAGCATGATAAGCTGGTTCAGGTTTTGAGGCAAAGGACCCTTCAAGCTCATATTTTGAACTTGAATCTGAGAAACCCTTGAACCAGAACAGTAAACATGTTTCCAAGATTGACCACATGGATCATCGCCATTTGCAGGCCACTCCAAGAGCGCTGGATTCTCTAACCCATCTCTAAACGCTTTGAGAATAGCTAAGTCATTGGGATCTGTGTCACTAGAAACCAAAGAAACATAACAGAGCAGTTGTAGTGCGAAAAATACAAGTCTTATGTAGTTGTTTCTCATAGCAGCAGATCTGCAGAGTTGCATTTTGCTTCATCAAGAACCATTTTAGCACCAACTGCTGCTTCTTGAACTACCCATCTCAAATCTCACATGGAAATGCCCAAAAACAAATTAAAAGACTCAAAATTTAAGACTGCATGGAATTTGCGGCTGACTATAGAGTTAGTGTGGTGAAGAAAAGGATAAAAACAAAATTAAGCTTCAAAACCAAAGACAGACCACAAAAGCTGGATTTTTTGAAGAATGGAAAGAAATATAAAAAATGAATTGAGCGAGAAGAAAGAAAATGTGGGAAATTGGTAACTGATAAAATTCTAAAGAGAAAGAAATGGTAAATTGTTGGTACGGTATGTTGTTCTGGAAAGTAGCTCGCCACACATGGCACTGGCAGAGCTCTACATTTTTATCTGTCTCAACAACATCATCCATTTCACGAAGGGTATTTTTGTCTTTCGAGCATTTGACAAATGGTGATTCGTAATTAGATTTGTTAGGTATTGACGGAGAAAAAATTATTTTAAGGCGAAATAGTGTCTTTAATATATAAACTAATAATGAATAATCTCCTTCTGTTTTTTTTTTTTTTTTTTTTTTTTTTTGGTTGGTAACGGTATGTTTGGTTCTGGAAAGTTAGCTCGGCCGAACCAGCATGCAACTGGCAGAGCTCTACATTTTTTATCTGTGCTCAAAGCAACCGATCATCCATTTCGACGGAAGGGTATTTTTGTCTTTGCGAGCATTTGACAAATGGTGATATCGTAATTAGGATTTGTTAGTATGATGACGGAGAAAAATTATTTTAAGTGCGCGAAATTAGTGTCTTAATATATAAACTTAATAAGGCAATTAATCTCCTTCTGTTTTTTTTTTTTTTTTTTTTTTTTTTTGAAAAAAAAGAAATCTGGCCTTCTGTGTTATGTTAGTAATATTTTTTTCTATTTTAGCATTTTGGTTTATATTTTTTTTTTTTTTTTTTTTTTTTTTTGAAAAAAAAAAATCTCCTTCTGTTATGTAGTAATTATTTTATTTTTCTATTTTAGCATTTTGTTTATATATATATATATATATATATACATTCAATAAGTATATTTTCACTGGTTTTTATCTTAAAACTATGTTATTCTCTTTCATACATTTTAAGAATTCTTGTACTCTATTGTGGCTACTTATGGACGTAGCATATTTTTCGGTGTATGACAAAAATAATGTGTTTAGTAAATTTATTTATCAAAATAATGTAATTTTTGTTAAGTAATTTTTGAAAATTCAAGGAATATGAAGCTGTATATAACACAAGCGGATTCAGTATAACCAAAAACCGATTTATATTAAATCAGTATTAAACTATTGTAACTGAATCCGTTTATACCGTAAGTGGATTATGTATACCTAACATACATACATTGTTATATACATGTTTTTATGTATAAAAAAATATTAAAATATTGCAACCAAATGTTCCTGTACTTTAAATAGATTCACTGTACATGAAGAGGTGTATTGGTTCAAATTAAACCGAACCAAAAAAAATACAAATTGAAATGTTTTGATGACAGATTGAATCAAACCAAAATTAGCATTTAAATCGAACCAATTCAAATCGAACTAACCAGTTCGGTCAGTTTCGTAAGTTCGCTTTTAAGTCCGGCCGATAAATTTCTATGATATTGACACAAGCCAAATAATAAATTTGGTTTAAATCCAAAATCGATAAATCAAACCTCCTTCGAATAGCTGACCGAATTGAACCGAAATAGATCAGTTCGATTTTCAATTCGGTTCATTGGTAATTTTACACACCTCTAACCGAATCTGCTTAAAGTATAAGTGATTTCAATTATAGTGATTTAATAATTTTCTATGCAAATCGTTTTTTTATCATGCTGATTCCGCTTCAAAGTATATATATTTATATGTTGCTTGAAACTTTTTTTGGGAATTCCTCAACAAAAACTGCATTACTCTGGTAATTATTTTTATCTTTGCTGTCAAACTTTTATATTTTTCGTCTTTTTTCTTTTAAATATTATTTTATTATTTTTTTTTTTTGTTCTTCTTATAGTTTGAGAAAAAAATGAAAAATTATTAAAATATCTTAAAATCCAGAAATTTTTTTTATCGTAATTAATGGGAAGATTAATTAAAAATATTCATGAAAAAAAGTTAAGACTATTTAATTTAATTTAATAATTTTTTTTGTCAATATAATATTAAGATTCGATTATAATAATTTTTGTTGTAACAATATCGCCATCCAACTATTTAATTTAATTTAAAAAAATATTTTTTATTAATTTCAATATTAAAAATAAATTTAATATCCCATTCATTATTTATTTATGTTATTAGTTAGACTTTGAATATGATTAATGGTAAAGAGATTTTCTTTCTATTTGTAAAATTTTAACTAATAATTTTTTTTATTTTTCTGAAGTTTTTATCTATTTTCTCTTTTTATCTTTTTAAATCACGAGACCGTTACCGTAAAGGAGCCGTATACGTTAGAAACAAGACATTTTATGGAAGAACACAATCCCACAGAATTTTTGTGAAATTTATCTATAAATCCAAATATTTGTATTTTAGTATGAAAGAGATGAAGAATGAATTTTACTAATTTAATTTTATGGGTTTCAATATAATTAAATTGAATTCTACCTATAAATGTAGATTTCTAAATGAATTCATGAATTTAAACAACCTAAATTTTATGGCAAAACGATTTAAACTTCTAAAATTATTATATCAAAAGACAAAAAGTAAATGAATTTTTAAATTTGAATTTATTCAAAATATAAAAAATTTATTTATAAATAAATTATATCTTTGAATTTATTTATATCAAGTGAAATGGTCTGTAAAATGACTTAAGAGATGAATTTAGGAAAAGAAAGAGAGATGACGTATCTTTTCTGTATGCATTTTTTTATTTTTCGGTTTTATCATATTATATTTTAATTAGATTTAAAATAACTTATATATATACTTGCTACAAAAGTATTTTGGTTTTCGAATGTGCTTGAGACAAAATTTTCTTTCCAATGATTTTAAGAAAAATATTTCTCGACATTAACTCAGTCGTTGTCGAAAATAGAGAGATATTGATTTGACAAGTCAGTCAAATCTACTTTTAAATAAAAAAAATAAAAATATTAACCTTTGATTTAACTTTACCTTATTTATATGATTATCTACTTATTTTAAAACTATTTTTACCAAATAAAAAGACTATATTATACTAACTAATAATTTTCAAAAATGTCAGTACTATATCTTTTTAATAAAGTTTTAGGCTTTCTATTTCATTAACATCACCCCTTTTAGTAATTTTGGTATATCTATGTGTGTTTTTTTTTAATCCACCGGTATTCGGATCCATTATCAGAATTTATCTAATCCGTTCGAGGCTTAGTTATAGCTTAAGCTATTCGCTTATCCCTGTATATGCGTTTAGTAGGATAATATCAAGTGATTTTTAAGTACCTTAACTAAACACTTAGATCATGTTGAATAACATTAGCTATCATCATAGGGATTAATTATTATAATGGTCATAGACTATTTTACTAACTATTAACTATGAGATATAAGTTACTAGTGGTTAGCCATTTATGCAACGAGGGTTATAATGATTTAAAACATAAGTATTTGATAAAAATAAATATTTAACTAGTTTTTAAATGTAAACTAATTTAAAATAACTTTAGTTAATTGTTGAATGATAGGAAGCAACATTTTTGTGAAACACTCTCTCAACCTGTAAATGTTACTAAATATTATGTTATCAAACAATAAAATGAAAAGAGATAGTATTTTGAATCTAGCAAAAACATCAAACTCAATTTTGGTTTGGCACTTTTTTCCTTTAAGTAAAATCAAAACTAGATCAATGATTTTCGATTTCAAATTATAATCAAATCATATACTTACATTTTTATTTTTTATTTTATGAAATCAAAATCGATAATTTTAGATATAAATTTATTTTATAAAATTATATATTGGCATTTATTTCAAAAACTAAAATTTAATATATGCAATATTATTTGTTTAGAATAAAGAATTTTTTTTTAATTTTTAATTTTTAAATATTTATTAGAGTCGAATGATGATTTTAAAAAGAAGGAAATAGTTTTTATGTGCAATTTTGCCTTAATTGCAATTGAATGTGTGATACTATAAAATATCAAATTGAGGTAAAATTGACAAAAACATCAAAATGGACTAAAATTGAAAAAATCTATAAAGTTCGGAGTATTTTGATATATTAGGTCAATAATATTCATGAAATTAGTAATTACATTTTATAATGAAGAAGATTTAAAATCGATTGACAAATTACACCTAATTGTCAATTAGATGTGGTCATAGTTGTTCCTCTCATTTATATGGAAAGTAGTCTCAATCACAAGAATTTTCGTCAATTTGTTGAGTCAAGAAAAGAGCTACTCTTATTATATAGTCTGTAGTGTTATTTCAATCTACTTGAAGTAACTATAGAATTGATGAAACCTGCCATTTATTTTTCTATCTCTATTTATTACTTATTTTATTTATTTCATTTTTATTTGATACCTAATATCAATATAGTTTCTTATTTTGAGGCAAAATATCTCGAAAAAAAAAACATGGTTAGGAAAATTACAGTAGCAAAAATCATTGGAATCATTATTTTATACTCTGAAATAATCCGTTGTGGTATTAGAGTAAAGGGGAAAAGAATAACTAAAAGAAAATAAATTCATTAGTTATTTATCAAAATTTTGCTTATTCAATTATTAGAATTATGACGAGGAATTTTATTTATTCGATGACCATAATTATACACGGATTAAGCTTTTCAATAAATGAAAAAAAATACCTAATTGCCTAGAATATCGACTTTTTATACATTCTACAATCTAGATAAAATAAATTAATTAAAAAGAAAAAAAAAAGAAGATTATTCTTGTTTTCTCAAAAGAAAAGAAGGCAAATTAAAAAATTGAAAAAAGTTGTATGATAACGGATAAAGAGGAATACAAAGATAAGATGTGTCCTGAAAAACAAAAGAAAAGAATAGAAATAAAGATTTGAATGGCAGTACTGTAAATAAATTATTTTAAGGGAATGTGATTCTGTGACTGTGGGCGCGTGCAATCCGAAAATTACGGAGACAGTGAACCCGAGTGGATGACGATGATTCCGCATTACGCTTACACAGCCACGTCCCCCACGCTTTTGACATCGCGCATTCGTAAAAATGACTTATGGAAAACTATTTTAAGAAAAAATAAATTTTCATTTTTAAAAGCAGAAAATAATTTTCAGACATCCATCAACTTATTATAAGTTTATAAAAGTCTATTTTTTAATTTATTAATCATTAATAGTACCATCAATTATCATCACCGG